TAAACCTGGAGAAAAGCTCCATTAATTTATAGTGTCAAAAAATCAAGAGTCTGTAGCATCTTTTACAAGCAAATGGAATTAAAAGACATCAATTTTTCAGTCATAAAAAATAACAATAGCACTTAGACTTATATACCACTTCACAGTGCTTTACAGCCCTCTCTGAGCAGTTTAGAGAGTCAGCATATTGCCCCCCCCCCCGAAATCTGGGTCCTCCTTTTACCAACCTCAGAAGGATGGAAGGCTGAGTCAACCTTGAGCCAGTCAGAATCAAACTCCAGGCTGTGGGCAGAGCTAGCCTGCCATACTGCCTTCTAACCACTGTGCCACCATGGATAGATAGATGATAGATAGGTAGGTAGGTAGGTAGGTAGGTAGACAGACAGACAGACAGACAGATAGATAAATAGCAATAGCACTTAGACCAGTGGTTCTCAACCTTTCTAATGCCGCAACCCCATAATACAGTTCCCCATGTTGTGGTGACCCCCAACCAGTTATACATCACCAGGTGCCAGGGGCATGGCCAAAGAAAAGGGGGAAAAATGGCGGACAGCCTTGTTTGGCGACCCCCGTGAAATGGTCGTTCGACCCCAAATGGGGTCCCGACCCACAGGTGGAGAACCACTGACTTAGACTTATATATCACTTCACAGTGCTTTACAGCCCTCCCTGAGTGATTTACAGAGCCAGCATATTGCTCCCCTTCCCAGCAATCTGGGTCCTCATTTTACCAACCTCAAAAGGATGTAAGGCTGAGTCAACCTTGAGCCAGTGAGACTCAAATTGCCCAACTGCTGGCAGTCGGCAGTCAGCAGAATTAGCCTACAATACTGTGCCACCATAGCTCAGATGCTACCAGACTCCTCGTTTTATTTATTTGTATTTATTTATTTACCTACTTACTTATTAAACATGGTGACTTCGGGTAGTTTTATACCGTGGTCAATCTCTTCTTTGATCCAGGATGGTAAACCAAGAAATTATCCATATTCCAACCAGCAGGATAAATATTTATTTTCTCCCCCTACTTACAACCCATCCAGGCAGAAATTAGCATATGCTCTAAAATTAGTAGTGAGATGGAAAGGGGGGGAATTTTCGCACCGCTCCTTGTGATTAAATTACTGTCATCTATTTTCTAGATTCATATAGATATACCTAACCAGCCTGGATTTGCTTAACATGCTATGCAAGATAACTCAACCTAATGTGATGTATGAAGGTAGGTAAGCTAACTTCCCACTGCTTAGGTTAACTATGGCAAAACTATCTTATTCCCAGAAGTATTCTGATTTCTGAAGTTCAACAAGTAGATCAAGATACTGGTCTGTTTTTATTCCTGGCTTTGGCAACTGTACTTCAAAGTATGTTTCCTATTTTAAAATAGGCATTTAAAGGGCATCCTTTTAAACTGTTGCTTTGGCCTTTATCAACCAAAACAATATTTGGATATTGGGCAAAAATCTCACTTGTGAGATTTAAGAAAGGGAAGATTGCCCTCTGCTGTTGGCTGAGAAAAGGCAACTAGGAACAGAAAGAAAATCAGATATAAAAGTGACTTTGTAGAAGCCGATCCGTTCATCTAATTATCTCTTTGTTTAATGTTTCGTTTAAGTAAAACAGTTTATTATAGCAGGGCGGGAAGGCCCATCATAATAAAATATGTATACACTTCACGGTTTATTGTTCACAATGCAATTACAAGTTTATTGTTTTTAATCTGCTCGGTGCCAACAAGAGTAATAAACGTGCAATTAACCAAGTTGACCTTATACAAATCCAGCATCCCATTTTTATTTTATTTGGGATGATATACAAAATACCAGATAGATAAATAGATAATAGATGATAGATATTTGGGTGGATGGATGGATGGATGGATAGAGTCATACAGGTAGTTCTCGATTTACGACCACAATTAAGCCCTAAATTTATGTTGCTAAGTGAGACAAGTGAGTTTTGCTCCTTTTTACAACTTTTCTTGCCCCGGTTGTTAAGTGAACCCCTGCAGCTGTTTAGTACCACGGTTGTTAAGTGAAACTGGCTTCCCCATTGACTTTGCTGGTCAGAAGGTCACAAAGAGGATCATGTGACTGTAGGGACATGGCAACCATCATAAATGGGAGTCAGTTGCCAAGCATCTGAATTTTGATCACATGACCCTGGGGATGCTGCAACGGTCATTAAGTGTGAAAAATGGTCATCAGTCATTTTTTTTTGCAGTGTCGTTGTAACTTCAAATGGTCACTAAATGACCATGTAGCCGAGGACTCCCTGTAATTAAATTGCAGAAAAATCCATTGGAGGAAGGAGCAGAGATATTGCAATTTGTAATGTGAGAGAGCTGGATGTGCTTTAAGAAGAAGTCCCAAGTGTTCAACAGCTGGAGATCAAATGTATTTCCCCAGGGCTTTTATCACGCCTTCCCCTCTGGGCAGATTTTTCGCCTCCTCTTTGTGGTTCCTCCATAAAGATTTCCGAAGCAAAAGAGAGCACTTAAGGACTAAGCGCCAGAGATGGTTTCAGGTGCAAAGGTAAGGAACGGGGATATCAAGAGGCAGGAGCTTCCCTTGGAGGCGAGTGCAAAACTTGCACTAAGGAATAAATGCCAGGGAGATAAGCTGCAGCCCTCCAGGAAACATGAGGGGGGGGGATGGGAGGGATGAGAGAAAAGGGGGATAGCAATTCCAGCTGGTGCTTCTTCCCAACATCTTGCCTACAGCTGGGCCATTCAGATAACATTGCCAAAAATGTTAAGATATCATTTTGATGAAACGTGAGTTGTTTTAGGAAGAGGAGTGGGGTTTCTTGGTAGGTGAAACTCCAGGCGGAGCTGGCCCCAAGTTTTTAATGACCAGAAAAACAGGCACAAAATTGCATCCTTTTTTTCCCCTTTCCGCATACAGATAGTCCTTAACTTCCAGCAATGCTGGCTCAGGAATTCCGAGTCCGCTCATCTTAAAATTGCCAAGTTTGAGAAAGACCGATCTACAATATACAAGAATAGCTTGCACCCTCAGTTGTAACTAAACAGACTGCAACCTCACAAATCCCCCCTTATCGTCACTGCCCTCCACTTCAACATCTGGAATGAAAATTATTTCGAATTTTCTGCAGAACCGTTTCTTTTTCTCCAGAGGGCTGTCTGCCCCTCCAGCTCCCTATATGACTGGGGAAGGGATGGGTGGGGCATTCTTCATATTCAACTGTTGGCTTTGGCCAACTTTCAGCAAGGCTATTTCCAGCAAGTGCAGTATGAATAATTGCCCAATTAACTGAAGAAACTTCCAGATGTGTATTTCCTTTCATACTAATCCAAGCCTCTCTTCCACGTCCCAGAAAGCCGTGAGGATGGTAAGGGTGAGGGGCTACAGCCTGGCCCCAGTGCTCACCCCTGCATACAGTTTTTCCTTTCCAGGAGGATGGCTTGTTTAACAACCCAGGAGAGGATATTCACCAGCTATCCCTGCCCAAAGTAAAGGGTGCAAAAACAAGACAAAAAAAAATAAAAAAGGGAAATGATCCTATTTTAATTTTTATTAGGTGTCTGAACTTCAGCCCTGCCCTGAATCAAAAATTATTTTTCCCCGAGATTAGTTGTTAAGAATTCTCTTGTGATTTGGAGTGCACAGTGAACTTAACAGAATAACAGACATGGAAAGGACCTTGGAGGTCTTCTAGTCCAACCCCCTGCTCAAGCAGGAGACTCTATACCAGGGGTGTCAAACTCGTAATGTCACGTGACGTGTCACAACATATCGTTAACTTTTTTTCCATTGCCGGCAATGGGGTGGGCACGGTTTCGGCATGACGCATCCAGCCGGGAAGCCAGCGGTTTGACACCTCTGCCCTATACCATTTCAGGCAAATGGCTGTCTAGTCTCTTCTTAAAAGCCTCCAGTATTGGAGCACCCACAACCTCTGGAGGCAAGCTGTTCCACTGGTTAATTGTTGTCAGGAAATTTCTCCTTAGTTTTAGACTGTTTCTCTCCTTAATTAGTTTCCATTCCTTGCTTCTTGTTCTGCCTTCAGATGCTTTGGAGAATAGGTTGACTCCATCTGCTTTGTGGCTGTTACTGGAAGAAAACAGATCCTGCCAGCCTGCTCAGTCGGCAGGTGATTTAAGAGTGAAGGAAGCATCTACCTTGTGCAAAGAACGCTATGCAGCACTTATGTGGTTTAAAGTATTTCAGCAGATCCTGTCAATGTTAGCATTCTAAGGGTATTTTGGGTGTGACTGAACTAAGAAGGGCCTTTTTTAGGGTTCAAGAAGTTCAGGGCATTCAGGGGAAGATAAATGTCTTTCTTCTCACTCCACTGTGTGTTAATGCAATCCCTTTCTCCTTTTTGCCATGCATCTCAGTTCCCCAGGAAATGGGAAAATGGAGATTTGCAAATCAAAAAATTCTTTCCTTCCTTTCCTTTATTCCTTCCTTCCTTTCTTCTCTTTTCCTTCCTCCCTTCCTTTCTTTCCTCTTTCCTTTCCTTTTTTGATTCCTTCTTTCTTTTTTTCTTCCTTTTATTTCTTTTTTCCTTTCTTCCTTCCCTTCTTTCTCTCCCTCTCTCTCTTGCCTCGTTTGCTTGCTTCTTTCTTTCCTTCCTTCCTTCCTTGCAAACGTTTCCGATCTCTTCACCTGGAAACAGAACATTCGCAGGAGAGACAGCCGAAGTTTCTGCTTTTCCCACGTTACGGTCCTCACTTTCTTCTCCGTAGACTTTTCTGATTCTTGACAGTGACCCATTCACAGAACGATCGCTGTAACTAGTCCTCCCAAATTAATGAATTAATTAATTCTGATTAATTCTAGCCCTCGCGCCCTAGAATTAAAAAAGTCATTTTGCACCTCCAGCCTCGCGCGCGCACGCACGCACAGAGAGAGAGAGAGAGAGAGAGAGAGAGAGAGAGAGAGAGAGAGAGAGAGAGAGAGCGCGCACCGGGCTTGGAGCCCTCACTACGCATGCGCGCCACAGACCCGGCGAATAAGTACAGGAAGCGCCTGCGCGGAAAAGGGAAGACGGAGCGAGATCGGAGACTCTCAACTGCGCCTGCGCCGGCTGTCCAGGTGGCTTCGCGCCTGGTTACCTGGAACGCGGAGGCTACAGGTGAGGCGGAAGTGCATTCCTGGGGAAAAGGGCGGGCAAGGCGCGTGCACGTGGGCTTCTTGCGGAGAGGGGAGGCGAGGCGAAGGTAAGGGGCTGCGTTTTCACGCAGGAAAGGCAGTGGGGCAGGGGTTTGGTGAAAGAAGGGGGGCTTAGTTTGAGGATGGAGGGGGCAAGGTGCTGCGGGGGAGGAACCTGGATTCATTTGAGGCCCCCTCCTCGTTATCCTCTTCCTCGTTATCCCCCTCCTTGTCCCACCTTCCCGTTCGTCGTATGGTTGCCTGCAAGACGAGAGTGCCCTTGAGCATAATCAGAGTGCCTGCCTGCCTTCAGCATCAGCAACCAGCTCCCTGCCCGTGTTTAGGGTCCTACACAGCATCAGATGGGATGATTATGTCCCATCAATTCAGTGTCAGCTTTAAACCAGTACAGAAATAGTTTTTTTTTTTTTTTTTGCATGATCATTAATCTAGTCTTTGAGGTCTTCCAACAGCGCACCCATCGCTGTTTGTCCATCCACCAAATATATTAGGTACAGAATAAATGTGTATAATTAAGAACTGATTTCACAAAGCATTGCCTTTTGGGGTTTTCCTGCATTGCACCCTGCTTAGTTTTGCATCGTCCAGAGAGAGCATTGTAATCTCTTTCCATCATAAATTGAATAATAAATATAATAGTCGTATTAGAAGTAGAATGGATTTATGCTTTTTTAGTATGAGCATTGTAAGTAGTAAAGGGAAGATGTATCTCAAAACATGAGCAGTCTAAAATGATTGTTGCTACCTCTTCTCAGCTGGACTGGATGTTGATACTTCAAACAATCTAAATTATCAAAGTTATAGAGCTGTTGTTGCATAAACACTAGATGTTAACCACCTATTTATATTTTTTTTTCTCTCTTCACATTATGCTAAGTTCAAATGCACTAAATTGGTAAACTTGAAATGGCCGATATCCTACAGATTAAATAAACAAGAGAAAATTGCCCTTGTTTATCATTTTTATACTGTTTTAATTGGTGCTTCATAAAAGTAATTATGCCTTCAGGAAGTAAACATTAGGTATGTACTGCAAAGCTACAGCATAGATGTTTGCTTCCAGATTTTTTTTCAAGAAGTTCAAGAGATTATAATTGAACTGATTTTAACCACGAGTTACCAATTAAGCTATCATTTTTCTCATGACTTTTGATTGAAAAGCCATTTAGAGAGAGGGAAAGGCTACATTGATATCAAAAAGCATTTAAAATAATGGAATGCAGCAGTTTAACCACAACTAGAAGTAGTTTCACATTCTTAAAGGTAAGTTTTTACATTTTCAGACAACACCTTAGATTTTTAATCTGAGAATTAGATATTCGGTCATCCTGGCTATATTCTCATTTGTACTTTTTCTGAGGAAAGATCTTGGTTAGCCAAGCTGAAGTTTTATAGTAGTTGCAAATTCTTGCATTTCGTATAACTATTCAGCAAGCTAGATGCTTAAAAGCTTTTTTTTTTCTCTTCTAGAAAGAAAATAAACATTGGTACTGATTTTTTTTTTTTTACCAAATCTGCTTAGTTCAGATCTATTGGTCTCTCTCAGTTGAAGGCTATAGATTCAGTTTAACAACTGAGAAAAGTGTAATCTCAAGAGGAATTTGTGAGTTTGTAGGTTCATTTGATCATTTTTAGTATGTGTAAGAAAGGGAGTAATGTTGGGGTTTCATAATTATACGATTAAAAAAGGCTTTGTTAGACTAAGCTGCAGTTATTTGTTTCCATTTTCAAGTTATAGGTTATTATAACTTAGTTATAGGTTCATATTTCTAATTCTCGATTTAGGACTGTTGGGATCTGAATTTTGACGTTGCAACGGTCATAAATGTGAGGGCTGGTTGTAATTGGTCTCAAGCATGTACCAGTTCTATAAGCTTGTTCTCCTATCCCTAACCTGTCAAATATATAAAAATATGATGAAAAAAATAAATAGCATGGATAAATAACAGTGATAATGTACTAACATCCAGCTTTGTGTTAACTTCTTTCCAGCAAAGCTGTTTTAATAATTGTACCTTTAAACACGATATAATCTTTCTCTACGGAAGAAATACTTATTTCTTCACAATGTGTTTTTTCTTTTTTTACTAAAATACTATAATACAGTATTGCTCTTGAGAGTTATAAAACCAAATTCAATGCTGTGAACACAATGAACAAAAAACTAATTTAGGTGAGGTCTGTTTGTATAAGTGTCAGATGACTCCTATCAAGTATGTGGTTAGAAAGCTGTGGGAACACAACCTTGTCACTGTAGGCCATAATGACCTGGTTTTTCTGGATAATGACAACTATTCAGTTGTCAGGTAGGGAATACAGCATTGTATTTGGAGAAATCTTACCCCCTTATTTGTAAACTCATCTACCGAATTTCAAATTGCTTAGAAGTCTTCTGGCAGTTAGTAGTACATCCTTCACCTTGTTAATGAATCTGTGCAATTAAAAACTTTTGGGTAGCAGCTCATATTAGCAGCCGTGATGTAAGACTGTGACAAATAGTCCATTTTCTTGGTCTACCAATGATATCTTTAAAGTGATGCATTAATCAGGTAATTAATAGAAATTCTATAAGCTTATCACCACTGTTATCATGGCTATTAACGCCATGCTTATTGGGGTAGGAAATGAAAGCTTAAATGCACAAAGCTTAAATGCACAAACATAAATTGGTGCTAGACAAGGATCAATGGAATTCACAGTGGGCTGAACGTGGATCTCTTGTGGCAACGCAATGACTTTAAACTGATGACACGTTTAACCCCGCCTTCCAACTCAGCCTGCTGTTCTAGAGAAATACTGTTAGTTGCCTGTATTAGTCATATATTATATAATCTGAAATAAGTATCCAGCTTTCTGTAAATGCTTGCTTGGCATTTCTTCTTGAGTACCACTGCTGAACTGCAAGAAAAACCAACCCTTGAACCCAATTTGCACATACCACTGGTCACGTGCTTGGGTTGCAAAGCCAGGCAGTTGAGAAGGACAACAGCTTTATCTCTTCCCTTCAGCCGCTTCCACTTCCTTCCTCAGAAGTAAACCACAATTCCAAGAACTGAGTTTAGACTAGAGAACGAGGAACTTCGTTGCACAAGCCTATACAGTGTATAAACCTATTATTTGGGCAGGGCTCAAATATTCCTGTGGTCACATATTCACTATTGATCAGTTCTTTTCAGAACGTTTGAGATTTTTTTTAAAAAAAAAACTTGGCTCATAGATAAAAGAACAAATAGTGATTTGCAGTAAGAAATACAGAGAAACTATTAGTGGAATTGTAATCTTACTCCACTGTACTAATTAGCACACAAGACAAACAAAAAGAAGTTTTATTCATTCTCTAAACCAGCAAGAGTTTATCATGGTTGAGGATTCTGGAAATTGTTTTTCAACTAGGGCAGTGATGGCGAACCTATGGCACGGATGCCAGAGGCGGCATTCAGAACCCTCTCTGTGGGCACGCACACCGTTGCCCCAGTCCTAGGCCTTCAGCTGGGTTTTATAAAACCTTCTCGCTTTAGGCCTCCGCCGACGTGTTCAAAAAAAAAAAAAAAGGTTCCATCAATCAGTCAATTTCAACTTCTCGCAGGAAAAAAAAGATCTTGCAAAGTTGGAATTGATTGAACTTTTTAATCCCACCCAGTCTGCCGTTACCACCGCAGCTACGCCCACCCAGTGGTCCATGCCCACCCAATGGGCCACACCTAGCTAATGGGCCATACCCACCCGGCACTGGACGATGCATAAGTGGGTTTTGGGTTACAGTTTGGGCACTCGGTCTCTAAAAGGTTCGCCATCACTGAACTAGGAAATACAAGATGGTTGGACTGGCTAGTTTAATCAAACCAATGCTAAAAGCGAGTTTCTAATCCAGTGTTCCTCAGCCTGCAGAAGGATAAGGGGACATCAACTCTGAGAATTTCCCAATCAACATAGTGAAATTTTGGGAACTCAGATCTGCATATCTGGAAGTTGCCCAGGTTGAGAAATATGGAGGGAGATCTTAAAATTGTATATTGAATGGTGTTTTTTTATATGCTTTTGTAAAAAGAAAATCCTGTAGCCTTTTGTGTATTAAAGTGCTATAAGTTACTGTTCGTTATTGTTAGATTATAATTGCTGAGATCTTTTGTTAGGTCAGTGAGTTTGCAGTTACAAAGCCATGCAGGAAGATCTAGGAGTGTGTGATCTTCTAGAAAATTCTGTTTCTATTATCAAAAAACTATCTTAAACTTTTGTTATGTATGAGATGGCAATTGACTGCCATTTATAATAATCTATCGTGATCTTCCATATTTATTCTGTAGGTACTTAATGCAATTACAGATTGTCTCTTAGCTCCTCAAATCTTCCCCTGAGAGAAGCATTGGTTTGTGAGTTAATTGGTTGTACACGTTATTAAATATAAGCTGTTACCTACATAATTCCATTTTAAAAAAAAAGCTATCTTGAACTGATAACATACCCTCACTCCTATACAATTAGCAACAAAGGGGGGCAACCTGACACTTCCATATTTAAATAACCTTTTGTTCTCTTGCAGGAAACAGAATAAACCTTCCAAGGACTGCTAAAACAAAATCCCTTATGTCTTGTCTTTAAGAACGTCTTGGCAACTATGGGTGAATACAGTAGGTTTATAGATTGGGACAAGATGGATGCTACCATCCAAGCTCAAGATGGGAAGGAACTGACCAGCCCCGAATTTCACACTGAAATTCTGAAACCACTGGCTCGCCAAGGTTACTGGGCCAAGAGCCACTCTTTAAGAGCCAAAGTGTACGATAAATTGATCAGCTGTATCCCTTGCCGCACGGTGACACCGGATGCCCACGTCTACCGAGACATTGTGGTGAAAATTGTCGGCAAGCGAAACAGCAGCACGCTTCCCCTTCCGGAATTTGTAGATAATAGCTTGGTTCCCACGTATTGCCTGAACGCTGAGGGCATCGGAGCCATCAGGAAAATCATTTCCTGCATCGGAAGCCAGTTCCCAGACATCTCCTTCTGCCCGGCTCTGCCTTCCGTGGTGGCCCTCCTCCTTCACTACAGTAGGGATGAAGCTGAATGCTTTGAGAAAGTTTGCCGCATCTTGGCCTGCAACGATCCATCCAAGCGCTTCATCGATCAGACCTTCTTGGCTTTTGAGTCATCCTGCATGACCTTCGGAGACCTGGTTAACAAGTACTGCCAGGCAGCTCACAAACTTATAGTAGCCATCTCTGAAGATGTGTTGGAGGTCTACTCGGATTGGCACCGGTGGCTTTTTGGGGAGCTGCCCCTCGTCTACATCGCCCGCGTCTTTGACGTGTTCCTGGTAGAAGGTTACAAGGTGCTCTACCGCGTCGCGCTGGCTCTCCTCAAATTCTTTCACAAATTCAGAGTTGGGCAGAGCCTGGAGTCGGAAAACGTGCAGCAGGACATCCGAGCGTTTGTGAGGGACATCGCCAAGTGGGTTTCTCCCGAGAAACTGCTGGAGAAGGCTTTTGCAATCCGTCTCTTCTCGCGGAAAGAGATTCAGCTTTTGCAGATGGCCAACGAGAAGGCTCTTCAGCAGAAAGGCATCACAGTGAAACAGAAAAGGTAGTGGGATTTCCCTAAAAAGCCTCCCCATATAGAGGCTTTTTAAATCTGGCAACAAAATTCTTGCTTTATGGGGAATAAATGTTGCTGTAAAATGGGGTGTATCTGTGCATCCATCTTCAATTTGCATCCATCCTCAAATACAATCAGTGCAGGTAATCCTCAGCTTACCGCCATAGCTGAGCTCAACATTTCTATTGCTAAGTGAGATAGTTTTTCAGTGAGTTTTGCCCCATTTTATGACTTTGCCACAATAATTAAGCGAATCACCGCAGCGGTTAAGTTAATAACACGATTGTTAAGGGAATCTGGCTTCTAATTGACTTCTCTTGTCAGAAGATCACAAAAGGTGATCACGTAACCCTGGGACATCATCATAAATACATGCCAAGCATCCAGATTTTGGTCACATGACTGTGGGGATGCTATTCACCGTCGAAAGTGTGAAAAGGGGCCCTAAGTGATTTTTCAGGGCCACTGTAACTTCAAATGGTCACTAAATGAACTGTTAAACCATTCCTGACAGATTATTATCTAGTGAAGGAGATCCTAATGCCTCTTTGGTTAGAAATTCCTCTTCAAACTTTTCCTCTGCTGCAAGACATTTCCTAGTGGGGATTTGAAATCTGCTTTCTGGTATCTTGAATTACGATTTTGGGGTGTTGCATTCTGGAACTTTGAAGAGCAGAGTTACCCTTTTATCTGTTTACCTTTTAGGGATCTGAAATAGAAACTTCAGTGAAGGAAGGTTTCCCAGCTGCTGACTGACTCAAAATAGAAAGCTTAAAGTAATTTAGCAGCAAAATCAATACTTCGTGCACATAAAGGGCATCATTTCTAAAGCCATATAAATCTGTTCCCTGTAGCTTTTGAATTCAGTTTCCCACAAGCCTTACCGTTCAGCATCCTCCAGGTAATAAATTCCATATTCCTGGATTAAAAAAAGAAAAAGATAAGAGCTTGTGAAAGTTGATGCTAGAATGAATGTGAGCTTTTAACATTTGGTTTAGATAACACCTTTGCTGCATTCACACATTTGGATTCACGTAGCAGGGATAGGAATCTAAAAATGGCTATTAAGACTCCTTTCTAATGGATCCTGCAGTCTCTTGCTACTGAAATTGTAAGACATAATCTTGTTATAGCAAATGTATTGCTGATGCTTTGTCTTTAAAGTCTTGGGGAAAGCAAAGATAAAAGTGAACTTGAGGCACGTTAGTCAGGAAAATGTTCTGTCCCAGCCTATGTGAGTCCTTGTTAAGGTCACAAGGAGAAACCCCTCTTCCAACAAGCAGGCTGGAACCGCAGGAAAAAACGAATCCCCTTTTATTATTCACAGATCTGAATCAGTCCAAGGCAAACAAACACAGTTCACAGAAACTCAATTCCTCAACACAAACAGTTGCCTTCGGCCACCAGCATCTCCCACACCTTCCTTTTATAATTCAGCCAAGGTTGGCTTCCTAATGCCTTCTCCTTTGCCTTTGGAGCCGCCCCATTGTATTCCTCTGTCCTACTCGCTTCTCTTGCCTGCGCATTCGTGCATCTGGGATTTGTCCCAGCTGTTCCTCATCACTGTCCAATTCAGGCTCCCAGCACAGCTGTGTCTCAGCCTGAGCGCGAGTAGAGGGGCCAGGCTCCTCATCCGGCTGTAAGTCTTGGAGCTCCTCAGAGCTGACTCTGACTCTGATGTCACTCCAGTACCATCCTCCTCCTCCTCTGATTCCCCAGACTCAGCTGCTGGATCCACTAGCTAGTGAGGAGTAACAGCAGAAAAGTAAAATTAAAAGTAAATGAATTCGACTCAAAAGTCCTTTTTTCAAATGGCAACTGGGACTTTGTTTTTCCTTCATCCGAGGAGCTTCTTCAGAACTGAAGAAAAACAAAGTCTAGTTGTCTTTTGAAAAAGCACCTTTGGGACAACCATGATCTGGATGACTGAGAATCTCCATAGATCAGGGGTAGGCAACCTTGGCTCTTTTATGACTCGTGGACTTCAACTCCCAGAATTCCTGAGCCAGCCGTGCTGAGGGGAAAGGAGAGGTTTCCAAGCTGAGCCATGCTGGCTCAGGAATTCTGCGAGTTGAAGTCCACGAGTCATAAAAGAGCTACGGTTGCCTACCCCTGCCATAGATAAATGAACTAGAAGTCATAAATGTTGCGACGGAGATTACTAGGAAAAAAAATGACCTAGTCCTAGAAAATTTAAAAAACCATTGAAGGAATTGAGAACTGACTTTTTTTTTTAAAAAAAGTTTTCAACTGTCCTTTATTTCACCATTGGTCTGCTCAAATCTTATTTTGCGTTTCTCTGTAGGCTTTTTCCATGCACTTGGTGGGGATCTATGAAACTGCTGATCTTTTCTTGATTTCTCCTTTTTTTTGTTTTTGTCTCCCTTCTCATGCCTTCTTTTCTGTCAATTCCATATCTGCTGCATTGCTTTGCAGCAGCGCATCCCCCAAAAGGTAGGTGTGAATGTTTGAATCTCCATGCTCTGCTACTCTTAATTTGATTTGGCTTCCAAATGGCTGTGGCTGCACTAAGGTTATGGCAACAGTAAAGTTTATGTGCATCGATAGCAGTGCGGTAAAATTCAAGTCTTTCTGAAGATTGCATATTTGCTGCGGTCAAATTGAGCATGCTGTGTTTGTATTCTAGGCCAGCTTTGTTTCTCTTTGCTATTATAAAGCTCATAGATTTCATTGGCATAGCCAGAATCTACAGGAATCTAGTTCCATTGACTATCAGGGGCACCACATGATCACTTCCATCTTTTGGGGAACTAATCAGATATAGGTAGCAATAAGACATATACCACTTCATAGTGCCTTACAGTCCTCTCTAAGCGGTTTGCAGAATCGATATATTGCCCACAACAATCTGGGTCCTCATTTTACCCACCTTGGAAGGATGGAAGGCTGAGTCAACCTTGAGCTGGTCAGAATCGAACTCCAGGCGGTGGGCAAAGTTAGCCTGCAGTACTGCATTCTAACCTCTGCGCCACCATGACTAGACAGATGTTAATCCTTGGGGTTTAGAGCCTCTACCAGGAATTGAACTTTGCACTTCAGTATGGTGCATTTGTTTTATCCAGTTTTTTGGTGCTCAGCAGTTGCAGGAAGCTACCAGAATAGTTTATACAAAACTAACTCTTAAGAACCACGTACTGTAGTGAGAAGGTGAGAGTAAATATGAAACTCCTCTAAATATATAAAAATTGTTTTGAAAATGGTAGCTAACCAGTAGGGAGAAGGTGAGGTTAAACATGAAAATCCTCTAAGTATATAAAAATTGTTCTGAAAATAATAGCTAACCATACACTTCACTACAGTTTTCCACTCTTGGGACTTGGTGTCTTCTGACTTATAAGGGAAAATGTATTGATTGTACGTTCTCCAAGCTGTTCCAAAAATAGCTCTTAATCCAATTTCATGCTTTTTGTAGTGTCACCTACTTATCTAGGGAGGCATTGTACACACTAAATCAGCCAGTAAACCTTACCAGCTGATCTTTGTCTTCCCCAGGAGAGAACTGAGGTTACAGCCTTGGGCAGAGCAAAAGTAATACAGATAGTCCTCGACTTAACAAATACCATTGAGCCCAAAATTTCTGGTTTGTTAAGTGAGTTTTGTGTCCCATTTTATGACCTTCCTTGCCACAGTTCAGTGAATAGCTGCGGTTGTTAAGTTAGTAACACAGTTGTGAAGTGGATCTGGCTTCCCCATCTGGCTTTGCTTGTCAGATGGTCACCAAAGGAGATCAAAACGACCCCGGGACACTGCAACCGTCATTAATACGAGTCAGTTGCCAAGCACCTGCATCTTGATCATACAATTTTGGAATTTTGACAATACAATTCTTCAACCCCGACTAAATATTTTGTACATTCAAAAGTTGCATCATGAAAGCCTGAGTTGTGAGGAATCTTTGGTGTTCTCTGAGCTTGGTTGTTTTCTTGCAGATGTTTCATTACCCAAACTAAGTAATATCATCAATGCTAATCTAATCCGCTAGCACTGATGATGTTACCTAGTTGGGTAATGAAACATCTGCAAGAAAACAAGCTCAGAGAGCACCAAGGACCCCTCATTTCCACCCCGAATTACAAATATTCTCCTTTATTGGTACGGTGAGATTTGCTGATGTAATTACAGATGTTTTCTCAAGGGCTGTAGTACATAAGCATATGTTAAAGTGGAAGAAAGAATAAGGTGTCTTTAACCATTCTCTTGAACTTCAAATCTTCCTGGCATGTAGAATAACATACTCAAAACTTACTCGGCATAAAACTCCCATTACGCAACCCCTGCATTTTATCTGACTTAAACTGCACTTAACCTAGCCTGGTTGCAAGAAAGAAACAGCTGTGTTGATTTGTTGCTGGCTTGTGTGCTGTATGTCTCGGTGCCTTGGTCTTCCCTTTTTATGTGTTGGTCTCACATTTCTCATTGTCACCAAAGACATTTGTGATTTCTTTTAACTCATCCTTCCCACAACATTACAGTCTCCTGTGGCATATCCGCCAAAGATAAGCCAGTTGACTTATTTAATTTATAATGTCACCCATCTCACTATCACAGTGACCCCGAGTGGCTTCCAATATAATAAAAAGGTAAATGAAAGGGTAAACAATGCTTTTTATGCAAGAGCCCTGGTGACGCAGTGGTTAGAATGCAGTATTGCTGGTTAACTCACTGCTCACTGCCAGGAGTTCAATCCTGACCGGCTCAAGGTTGACTCAGCCTTCCATCCTTCTGAGGTTGGTAAAATGAGGACCCAGATTGTTGGGGGGGGGGCAATAGGCTGACTCTGTAAACCCCTGTAGAGTACTGTGGGACAGAATATACATCTAAGTGCTAGTGCTACTGCTATTATCTTTTAGTAATAATTCTCTTCCCGTTTAAGATTTGAAAGAGGTATAATTGGCTTAAGCCAGTTGCCTTTTCTCAACCTGTTTTTTTGTTGTTGTTGATTCCTCAGGCAGAATGTCCACCTGGCTGTTCATGCTGAGAACTTCAAGTCTGAAATTGTTGACGTGAAGAAGATGAGGGACATCTGGTCGTGGATTCCTGAGCGCTTTGCCCTTTGTCAGCCTCTGCTGCTGTTTACCACCTCAGAGCATGGCTTCAGCCTAAACAGGTAGTACTTAACTCCATCATTCAAAAAAAAAAAAAAGGATTTGATGTTGCCCCTGCATTGGTTGTGTGCCATGAAGTCAGTGTAGACCAGGGATAGGCAACCTTGGCTCTTTTATGACTTGTGGACTTCAACTCCCAGAATTCCTGAGCCAGCATGGCTCAGCTTGGATACCTCTCCCTTTCCCCTCAGCATAGCTGGCTCAGGAATTCTGGGAGATGAAGTCCACGAGTCATAAAAGAGCCAAGGTTGCCTACCCCTGGTGTAGACCTTTAGCAACCGCACAGGTATATTTTCTCTAGGACAGCGGTTCTCAACCTATGGGTCGCGACCCCATTTGGGGTCGATCGACCACTTTTCGGGGGTCGCCAAAGGCGGCGATCCGCCATTTTGTCCCCTCCGGGGGAGGCTGCGCGCCGCGCATGGGGCAGCGCCGCGCCTCCGGGGGCGCCGCCGCGCATGCGCGCCGTGCCACGCATGCGCATAACGTTTGTGTGACGGGGGTCGCCGTCACACAAACGTTGAGAAGCGCTGCTCTAGGACAATCAGTCCCCACCTTGCTTCTACCGACTGTCCAACAGGATGATTTTTAAAAAGTTGGATTAGGACCGTGGAGAGCCTGATTCAAATCTCTTCCCAACTCTGAAGGTCACCAGGTCTCTTGGGGCAGTTTCTGTCTCTCGTTGAATCTACTAGCGTATGAAGTTTGATTAAGGATCTGATGAGGGTTGTCAAACTATTCTCACTTCTTTCATGCCTTTAAAGACCACCAAGCTCAGCAATAAATGACTTTAAACCTCCATTCTTTTTATGATCACCTATATAGAATAGAACAGAGCTGGAAGGGGCGCTGGAGGTCTTCTAGTCCAGCTCCCTGCTCAAACAGGAGAACCTACATCATCTCGGACAGGTGATTGTCTAGTCTTTTCTTAAAAACCTCCAGTGATGGAGTGCCCACAATTTCTGAAGGCAAGCTGTTCCACTGGTTGATTGTCCTCACTGTCGGGAAGTTTCTCTTTAATTCCAGGTTGCTTCTCTCTTTGGTCAGTTTCCAATCATTGTTTCTCGTCCTTCCCAATCTGGTGCTTTGGTGAACAACCTGGGCCCCTTCTGCCTTGTGGCAGCCCCTCAGATACTGGAACACTGCTATCACGTCTCCCCTATTTCTACTTTTCTTTAGACTATCCAACCCCAAGTCCCCCCAAGTGTTCTTCATATGTTTTAGCCTCCAGGCCTTCAATCATCTTAGTTGCTCTTCTCTGAATTTTTTCCAAACTCTCAACATCTTTTTTGTGATATGGTGACCAAAATTGGCTGCAGTATTCCAGGTGTGGGCTTTGTAAAGCAGTACTAGTACTTCGCGTGATCTTGATTCTATGCCTCTGTTTGATAGGTGTACCATTACTGTAACTTGATTAATTGTTTATGAGCCGTCACGTCAAGTACAGTGTGTTTTTTGATTGATGGAGCTTTTTAGTTCCTATGGGATTAAACTTATCTGAATGTTCAAAAAATGTTGAACTGCATTGACGGTATTTTTATCCCATCTTGATATATATATATATCAAGTTATATCATATATAACTCCCTTTTTACAACCCCAAAATCCATTAATTCAGGGTAGAGTCATATAGAGCTGAGCATTTACTGGCTGGATGCCCTTCCTAACGCCTATATGGAGTTTGCAGTAGATATTTTTTTCTTCGCACCTTGGAGAGAAACATCTGCCGCTATCTAGGATTGAACTCTCAACCTTCCAAGTGGGAGGCAAGCGTCTTCACCATACATAATACCCCTACTTCATAGTTATGCTATACGTTGGTATGTGTGACTCTGCCAAGTCTTAGGGGAATGTATTCAATTAGTAGAAGGTAAATTAATGTTTCAGTAGAAGTTGAATTAATACAGACATCTTTTTATATCTGTGTTTGTGCATTAGGTTTTATTCCCATTGTGAGGGACAGGAACCAACTCTCCTTTTGATTAAAACAACTATGCAAGAGGTAAGTGAGAGGGTAAAGAACAGCCTGGTTAGAGGATCCCCCAATGAATTTCATAAGCTTGATGGAAGCAATGTCTAAGGTTTTCTTCCCCTAAATAAAAACAGAGATTTCCATTGTCGCTTTCTTCTCAATAAAAGTCCCCTGGACTTGTTTGATGCTCCTGTTTGTTGCATTTACAACCCAAGATTCATCAGAGGCACACTCAGATGTTTAACACACTTGGCTTTTAATCTGCCGGGGTTGAGTTGTCAACTGAAACAGCAGCTGTTGTCAGGCCCAAGAATGACACATGGCATGACTTAAAAACAGTTTCCTGTACTGTTCTTCACCCACAGACAGAATCTTGCCAGACTAAAGATAACTATAGATACACCGCTAGGGTATCAGACATCACCTGCCTATCAGACATTGCAAGCTCCCGCTGTCCTCTGGAAAGTAGCACCTTCCTGCTGGGAATCCAGACTACATTCCACTACAGCTATTGACTTACTGAAGATAGCCGCTTCCTAAAACAGGGTCTGTTTCCCTTCTAGGTCTGTGGGGCTTATTTATCGACAGACTGGAGCGAACGCAAACGAGGAGGAGGCAAGCTAAGTTTCTTTGGGACGGGAGAATGTTTTGTGTTCAGGGTAAGAAACCATTGTGACTTTCTTCTGGAGGGCTTCAGCATTCAGTTCTGGCTTGAGCGCACTGGCTTTTGAACTTCAATCTCCTGTTCTTTTTGCAGCTGGTGCCCGAAGTGGAACGATACGAGTGGGTTATAATTAAGCACCCCGAACTCGCCATGACTGGCTCCAAACAAGATAACAATTCTTCGGCTGTTTCTGACTCCCCATCCTCCACCAATCTCCCCTCAGATCCTTCCAGTCGCCTCTCCCCTTTCCTTTCAGCCCGGCACTTCAACCTGCCTTCCAAAGCAGCGTCCATGTTTATGGCCGGTAGCACTGAATGCATCATCATAGGTAGGTCTCCCGTTTTTTAACTTCCTCTCAAAACGGCTGCTTGCATTTCTACAGAGAAGTGAGTTTTATGTTCCAGGCTCTCTGTTAGCACTTGCTGTAGCTGCTTCGACACTTTTATTTATGAACAGCCTAAAGCCTCTGGGAATGTGGGTCAGAATGGAAATGAACGTGCAAAATGCCACGGTTACCATATTCTAAAAAGATTATACCTGTTTTAAAAAGCAGCCAGCCTATGTCGAAAGTCTAGCAAGTGACACTAAAATTTACCTCGTTGGCGTTGAGTGATTCACAGATAAAACGTCATAATTATGGAAAGGATACCAGTTAGATCAATTACGTAAATTGAGACTTAATGGATACCTTATTCCTCAAGTATTATGCTCGTGTTAGATTTTGATAGATTTTGGTGCTCTCTCTGAGGTTGGTTGTTTTCTTGCAGACGTTTCATTACCCAGACTAGGTAACAGCATCAGTGCTAGAAGGGTGTCGGGTTTGCAGAGAGGAGGAAGGAGAGAAGGAGGTGGAGGAGAATTGTGGGGTCCTTGGCACTCTCTGAGCTTGATGCTTTTCTTGCAGACCTTTCATTACTCAGACTAGGTAACATCAGTGATGCTCAGAGACTTCATTTCATTTCAACCTTGAGCTACAAATATTCTCCTTCATTGATTTTGACAGTCATAGTCTTTTAATTCCAAAGCTGCCTGGTTAAAAGAACTGGAGGCAGCTATTTGATGTATATGAAGACATGAGTGTTTCTCTTCCATCACAAAAGTATCGGTAGTCCCTGCTTAATGACCAGTCACACACCAACTGTTCAATGTTATAATGCCCACCCAGCCCCCATCCAAAGTTACTTACAACCTGATTCCGGAGTTCCGACAGCTACCGGTACATACACACATACACATCACAGTCACATGACTGCATTTCAGGCAGCCAGTATAATTTTTACAGCCGATTGCAGCATTCTGCAGTCATCTGACTGTAAGGTAACAACATTTTACAGGTTTCTAGCTTTTCTGACAGTTTTGAGCAAAAAGACATCCCCCAGGAATACAGGACTTGTTTTAATAACTACCCAGTTTAACAACGGCTGTGTTTACTTAGCAGCCCTGGCATTTGCTTAATGATCAGCAAAAAAAAAAAAAAAATGTTGTAAAATTGGGGGCGGTCACATGGGTGCCTCAGCTTGTGTCTGTCGTGACTTACGGCAGAAATTCAGGTTCTTGACTGACATAAGTCAAGGGCTACCTATAATACAAGAATCATATGTGAGATAGCATCAAGATGTAGACATGTGCCTGGCTGAGGAATTCTGGAAGTTGAAGTCCACAACTCATCAAAGGGCCAAGTTTGAAGACCCCTGATGTAGACATTCCAAAATGACGCAACGGCTCTCTTGTTTGCAGGTGGTGGTGATGGCCAAGCCCTGTACTTTGATGCAGACTTGAATCACGGAAGAACGGGTCATTGCAATACTTTCAACAATCAGCCGCTGTGCTCTGAACATTTCCAGATAGCTATCATGGAAGTTTGGGGGTTCAAGGACACTATGAATAGCTGAGAAGGTTGCCTCCTTCAAAAAATAATTAGCCCATGAAGTATTTCAGGTTTCTGTGGCCCATTTCCAGTTGCAGGAACCAAGCTTCCCTTTGAAGCCACAAAAATTAAGCTTCTTTGTACTTTGTGAACAGCTGATTTGAGGATCTCAGATAAATCTGGGACCTCTTTGTTTAGTCACTGTGACTTTTTACGTAATTCCGTGTAGTCTTAAGTGATTCCAACTCAGCCTCTTTCTGCTCTATTGAGTTTGATGCACAGCCTGATACTTTTTGGTGGAAAGGGGTGATCTTACATCAACCTCTCAGTGTATCCATAACTCAGTGGATCCATTGCGGTCCCCTGGAGGCATTCAGATTTTTTTTTCCCAGATCTTGACAGATGTGGATCAGCAGCTGATGCAATCTGTAAGTCTCATTCCTTATAAATTTGAGCTTCCATCCAAAGAGAACTGTATGTAATCAATGGATTATGTTGCTAGTTTCTTTCAGTTTTCCTTTCTTCTCGCCCTCTGTGTATTACGCCCTTCTAGGGATTTCCTGATCCCCATCGAGCTACAGTAGATGGAAAGATTTTATTGCATAGCACACAAGGACCTTCAGATCCAGCCCATTATTTTTAGGGACTTAGTTCCTTAAATCTATTTAACCTCTGCTTTGTGTGTGTGTGTAACATTGGCGTACCTGGCTGCTGTCCCAATTGCTAACTTTACTCATAATACCAATATGTGGGAAAATATATTACAGGAGTCTTAATTAGTTTTAATTCTGCAGTGGCACTGATTTGTAGATGTTAAGGGAACCCCTTACATCATCATATTTTTCTGTTTACATTCCCGGCGCCGCATATCGGCAATATACTTATTTTAGGTAATAGCTTCAGACCGCTGAAGTCCAACGCAATATACATTGTGCACAGAAATATTCCCTTCGTCCCTTCGTCCTTTCCTAGACTATCCCTCTGCATTTGTGCTTAGAGAAACAGTATTTCCAAAGCAGTATTAGCCATCTGACCTGAAATATTCAGTGCAGAGTAAAGCTATAGTTGACTGGTATGGGACCTGCAATGTTTTCAGTAACATGACTGCCTCTTTATCTTTGTTTTGGTGCTGTGCGTCTTGATTTTCAAACCCGGTGTACTGAATATGTGTGAATGTGCAGATTTTATTTCTGATGGTGGGGTTTCCCCCTCCCCTCCATCCAGAGACATTTGTGACTTTCTGGCCCCCGTACCTTTCCCCACTTCATAATTTATATCGCCTCTTCTTCAAGTTGTCATGGCCTACGTCCGTCTAAAGTGTGTGAGTCTGTGACTGTCCAGCAATCCAATTGATTCTATTGTAAAAATAAACTGAGTATGACTTCATTTTTCAAAGCAGCTTCATAATTATTGGGGCCTGCAGTTGAGTTTTTCCGCATCTAAGGTTGCTCCCAGGAACGGGAAACAAGTTTGTTTGGCTGCTAAGATTCTGAGATTTGGGAAAGGGGAAAATTTCCCCTAACATCGTGGCTTGATTCTTAAGCATCTTTCATTGTCTTAAGCATCTTTCATTGTTTCTGTTCAGATAAACCCAAAGAGTAAGGTCATTGTAAAGTTTCTTTCAAATCATATCTGACCACATGTGTTAGCCCTTGACATATGTCCACAATTGAGACCAGGGTTTCCGTCACTAAGTAAGGAGCTTGTTAAGTGAGTCATGCCCAACTTACGACATTTTGTTTTTTTTTTTTTGCTATGGCTGTTAAGCAAATCACTGAAGTAAATCACGTGGTTAATAGTTGTAGGTGTGTAAATCCCTTTTTTTTCAGTGCTATTGTTAACTGTGAATGGTTATTAAATAAATAGTTGTAAGTCAAAGGATATCCAGGACGTGGAAAATCCAAACTGCTTTCTTGGAAATGTAGTTGGGGTGTTTTGCGTGCCTTGCCAAAATGTTATTGCACGGTTTTCCCAAACTGATATCCTTCACTTATTAATTAGGGCTTTGATTCCTAGGATCTCTAGCAAGCAATGCCATTTCATAGGTTGTAATTGTGGGAGGGTTAAATTGATGTTTTTCAAGTGTACAGTATGTTCAGACACTTCTTGAAAAAGGAACGGGAGTCAGGTAGCATTGCCCATATAGTCCTCTAGATGGCAGTGGTCACTTCATGTACAATTTAGTTGAGCAGTAGAGTTAATTATTTGCCAGGCGCATAGCGGGACTGGTGATAAAACAACTCAATCAGAATAGAGCTGGAAGGGACCTTGGAGGTCTTCTAGTCCAACCCCCTGTTCAAGCAGGAGACCCTATACCATTTCAGACAGGTGGCTGTCCAGTCTCTTCTTAAAAATCTCCAGTGATGAAGCACCCACGACTTCTGACGGCAATCTGTTCCACTGGTTAATTGTCCTCACTGTTAGGAAGTTTGTACTTAATTCTTGGTTGCTTCTCTCCTTGATTAGTTTCCATCCATTGTTTCTTCTCCTGCCTTCTAATGCTTTGGAAAATAAATTGACCCCCTCTTCTATGTGATAGCCTCTCAAATACTGGAATACTGCTATCATGACCCCCCTAGTCCTTATTTTCTCTTGGCCAAACCCAAATCCTCCAACTGTTCTTCATATGTTTTAGTCTCCAGGACTTAGTTGCTCTTCTTTGCACTTTTTCCAAAGTCTCAACATCTTTTTTGTAATGTGGTGACCAAAACTGGACGCAGTATTCTAATAACAACATTGTTACTCTAATAAGTATTCTAATAACAACATTGGAGAAGTTTTTTGTATTGCCTCTGGTAAAAAAAAAAAAAAAAGACAGTCCTTCTAAAGATTTGGCAGAAAGGTAGAATCTCTTGAGGATGGATGATGTGGTTCTCCTACACTTTGCCGAGATGGGACTGGATGATCTTTAAGGTCCCAATTCCATCATTCTGAATTTCAGGGTATGTGTAATAAATAATGTTGCTACGCTTCACAGGTACAGTTCCCTAAGCATTTTTCAAAAAGGTATCTCTGCAAAGATCCAGCTTAGAATTAAGGAGAAATTTCCTGAAGGTGAGAACAATTAATCAGAGCAACGGCTTGCCTCCAGAAGTTTGGGTTCTCCATCACTGGAAGTTGTTAAGAAAAGGTTGAATAGTCATTTGTCCAGAATGTTATAGGACGTCTGCCTTGAGCAGGGGGTTGGACTAGAAGACCTCCCAAGGTCCCTTCCATCTCTGATATTCTGTTATTTTGTTTCCAACCTATGCTTTCCATATAAAGCCTTGCAACTTGCAGTGTTTATGAAAAAGGACTTTTCTGTCTAGACAATATTGCTTTCTGGTCCAATTCCAAAAATAAAGATGTTCTCACCTATCTTGCTTTAGTGGTTTAAACATATGCAGAAGCTTCATTATTCCTGACTCATGGGAAACCATTTGTAATTGAAATTGATACTAATGGAGATCCTTAATCATCATCACTGTTGTACTTATTTTTAAGTACACTAATGCTAATGAAGGCAAAAGATATGGGAACTTGAGGGCACATCACTCCAAAGCCTTGGACAGATAGAAAATCAGAAAAAGTATAGTTAAGGCAAGTTGCTCCTATTCACAATGATTTCTGAGCCTTCATTGGCATCTGTTCACTTTATTTAGAAAAACATCCCATATGTTGTCACCTTAAAGGATATTAATAGAAATGGAATATTTCTATTAAGAATTTGTTAAGCTTTGGGGTATCTGTCTCAAATCTATATCTATCTGTCTATCCATCTGTCTGTCCATATCTATCTATCTATCTATCTATCTATCTATCTATCTATCTATCTATCTATCTATCTATCTATCTATCTATCTATCTATCTATCTTATCTACCTATCTACCTACCTACCCATCCACCCATCTACCTACCCACCCACCTATCTGTCTGTCTATCTACCTACCTACCTACCCATCCACCCACCCACCCATCTATCTATCTATCTATCTACCTACCTACCTACCTACCTATCTACTCACCCATCATCTATCTGTCTATCTATCTATCTATCTATCTATCTATCTGCCCGCCCGCCCATGTCTGTCTGTCTGTCTCTGTCCATATCTATCTATCTATCTATCTATCTACCTACCTACCTACCTACCTACCTACCTATCTATCTCTGTCTCTATCTCTGTCATCTATCTCTGTCCAAAACAGGTAAAGGAATACAGGCGCTGACTTCTTACTTTGGGATTCGAATGGCATTGCTTTAAGTCGTGCAAAGCCTTCCTCCTTAGCAAAATGGGTGGCTATTTTGCCCCTGATTGCAACAGATCTATCATGGAAACATCCTGCTAGAAAAGCAAAGAAGAAAAAAATGGGGAAGTGAAAACCGCAAGCAGGAAAAAGACACTGTGGAAATTCTTCACGTGATGAATCATGGAATGACTAGAGATGGCAGAGGATACTTATAAGGAAAGATTCTGAGAAGACTGGGTCCTCGGAGAAGCTCTGCTGCTAAAATGAAACAAGAAAAATAAGGGAGGGGCCTTGGAGGTCTTCAAGACCAACCTTTTGCTGAAGCAGCAGACCCTATACCATTTCAGACAAACGGTTGTCCACTCTCTTCTTGAAGACCTCCAGTCATGGAGAACTCAGAATTTCTGGAGTTTTAGGAGGTTTATTTAGATTGGTTGGTTGGTCTCCATACCACCATATCGTTATTGTCAGAGGCACAAAATACAGCTTGGAAGTATAACACAACAATGGCTGCAAACTGGGCAATATGGGTGGGGTCTCATGAGACAGAGCAAGGCATTGTGCAAAGTGAGCAAAACGCGATGTGGGAAAACTGGAGAGCTACAGTTGGCCTGTTGGCTGAGACCTTCAGAGTCCATGGAGGACACTGTCCCTTTAGCTGTGTTTACCCCAAGCTCCCAACATGAACCTGCTCAGCTGAATATCCGATTTGAGGAGAGGATATTTTGTCCCTCCACAGACAGCAATACAACTGGTCTTGTCCAAAAAGATTACAATTAGGGAGACAATCACCAGCATATTAATACTGGGAGGCCTTGATGTACAAACCATTCAGTTAGTGACTGAAGTTGCAACAGCACTGAAAAAAGTGACTTACGACCGTTTTTCACACTTACAACCGTTGCAGTGTCCTGGAGTCACGTGATTGCCTCTTGCGACCTTCTGACGAGCAAAATCAATAGGGAAGCCAGATTCACTTAACAACTGTGTTATTAACTTAACAACTGCAATGATTCACTTAACAACTGTGGTAAGAAAGGTCGCACAATAGGGCAAAACTCACTGAACAACTGTCTTGCTTAGCAAGGGAAATTTTGGGCGCAACTGTGGTTGTTGAAGACTACCTGTAATTGTGGCTCCTATTGCAATTATGTCACCATGAGTTGTATGCTGCATGGGCAACTCAATAAATTGAATTTATTAAAATAAAGTAAGAGACAGGGACAGTGGGAACTAGTTAAAAAAAAAACTAGTCAAAAGAGTCATTAGCCAGTTTAGTTTTTCTACAAAATCCGTCAGCTGGAAACTACACAGCCAATGTCTTCAATAGCTTCTTTTCCGGATGCATTTCAAGATGAAGGCCAAATTATTGTCAGTAAAGCCACTCAGCAAAATCATCCAAGCAAACAGAATAGGAGAGCATGATGTACCACAGCCGATATGTCAAAGCCAGATGCAACTAGAGATAGCCTGAAATGGGTGGGTATTTGCTTTCCATGTCCACAAATGAAGAGCAACCCAAAACATCCTCAGGCCTGACTCCACCAAAAGAGCCTTAAAAAAAAAAAAGTATATAATGCAATAAACCTCTCCCTTTGGGTTTCCTTAGCAGGATTCTGTGTCGAAATTTTCACTAGTATTTCCTCTTCGAAACCTGCACGCTGAATGTTACCAACAGACTTCAGGAGATCTGTGGCCCAAAATTTCTGGTGTTTTTTTGTGGGGAAGTCTTTGAGCTGAGAATGGACGCGTGTCATTCTTAGTGCAGAAAATAGTAAATCTGCCCTGATTTAGAAGAGCCGTGAATATCAGAGAGAGCCTTGGGCTACAATTATAGTTTGGTTTCTAACTCAGGGCACCATCTTCTTTTGAAGTTGATATCCAAGAGGGTCTTGTAGACCGTCTTCAACTTAACAATCACAATTTCTTTTGCTAAGCAAGGCGGTTATGGTGAGTCACCCCTGATTTTACTTTTTAATTGTATTTGTTATTAGATTTATTTGTCAACTTTAGCAGTTAAATAATCAACAGGTAGACTTGGTTAACTCACCTCTGAGAGATCTAGCAGAGTGTCTGCTGGATTCAGCTCAGCAAATAACCATGGCAACGACAGCTTATGGATATTCTCAAGCTATCTGCTGCCAAAGTCTAGAAAAGAGTCATATTC